CGTTATAGTCGCACTCACGGGGCTGTAGGGGCAGCCGATTCTGAGAATGGGACTGTATTTCCCTTCCCCCACTAGGCGCTCACGGTAAGCCTAAATTCCGGGAATCGGGAGCGATAAGAAAATAAATTTTACTCCAATTATTTTTCTCTTCAATTTGCATTGAACATTTTTATTAAATATAAAAATTATTTTCATTAAACACTTTTATTAAATTAACAAAATGAATTGCGTTGAACACTTTTAGTAAATTAATGAAATGAATAGAAATATTAATAACATCGCATTGTTCAATACACTCCAAAATTTATTCACTTCATTCAAATAAAAAGCAGGATTATGCACCACTGCAAAGACCCTCTCTTCGTGACAGTCAAGAGTGAACTGAATTTCTCTCTCGCAAATTCATTTTTCCTAAATTTTATTTCCCGAATTTCTTAGAAATGCAAAACAAAGCCCATTCCGAGAAAACACAGGGGCATTTAAATCCACACCTCGGAGGTGGTACGGAGTGGGGGAAGCGCTCGAGCTCGAAAAAATCGATATGAGGGGAAATGCGACTATAACGAATGCGACTATAACGAGAGTCTACTGTATATGCATAAATCTGATTCAAGAATAAAATATACTTGATTTATGTATATAATGTTCGTGAGTCAAGTAAATTATCCTTGATTCGAGTGTAAAATATACTTGCGTCAAGTATATTTTATACGCGAATGGGGGATAGCTGTTTCAATTCGAATTGAACACTGTTAAAAAATTTTTGCCTGAATTTTCCGGGCCAAATTCCGAAAATTTTCATTGATTCCATTCCATTGATTTTCTGTTCAAATAATCTGAAAATCAATAAAATACTTGATATTTCATTTAAATTATTCTGTGAAATTTCAGAGAAATCAGGAAATTTGAGGGAAAAATTGCAAATTGATGTCATTTTGTTTCCGAATATTCATGTTCCACTGAAAATTCAATCAAGTTGTGAAATTTCCATTTCACTCTCCCTGCAAACTCATGGATTTCCGTAAATTCTACTTAAAACTTGAAATTTCATCCACATTTTCCCCCCTAAAATCGATTCAATGTCACTCTCATGAGATTTACTACAATATCTTCCATGAAATTTCAAAAAATTTCCAACACTAAAATGCCCATCCCCCAATAGAGTATAAAATATACTTGACTCAAGTATATTTATCCTCAATTCAGGTATATTTTTCCCGCGTATTCAAATAAGCGCTGATCGACATTCCGATAGAGGAACTCATTAAAACCCTTCGATTACTCACATTAACGGAAGTTAATCCAACTATGCTCCTTCCATTACCGATAGCTATCACCCGCCGCTCTAGTCTACACCCCACCCCCACCAAAAGAGCGTACTTGTTAATATTGTGCAGCACCGGGTGGAGAAGGCAAGAGATGCGTATCCAAAGGGAAATAGGCCGAGGATAGTTCCCCCAGTGTGAGCAGTACAACGTGATAGAACAATGAGGTGTGCACATTAGTTACCCCCAACCCATCCCCAACGAAATAGCCGGCATTTCGAACACCTCGTCTCTCCCCGTGTCAGCCAGCCCACTCCATCTACTCGTTCATATAAAATGAATGACACAAGCCATGAGTGCACCACGCCCCCCATATGATAGAGCAGTCGCTTGCGCTTCGTCACAAATTAAAATGATCAAAGTGGCTGTTAGAGTGAAAATTTTGTGGAACACGGGTGCAATGAACCTGTAACCCATATCACTTTATCGCATCGATTTTACAGTGAAGACACATCTACCCTACATTCAACAATGGCACCATTTTAGGTGCATATAAAGGGGTAAAAGAGGAAACTCTTGTTCACTATCTGGCCTCACAAACTATTCAACGAAGTGGTTATGTCACGTGTACCGTAGAATCGTTTCTCCATTCTGCGATTCTGCAGGTTTTCACTCCTGCTGGTATTGCGCTTTCTCATCGCATCAGAATTATGCAACGGGTGTTGTCAACTTGCTGCTGCGCCTGGAATATCCATTTACGGAAGTCACTGGTGTGTGTTTTGTGGAGAATGAGTGAGAATTGCTCGACCCATTTTCAACAATGAATGCGACCTGCTTATTATTAGATACACATATAAGTTGTATCGGTGGAGAGCCGCGGTGAAGCCATTCTTTGTGTCGTACTCATCAATATGCTTCGCGGGAAGTGCTCGTTTCTTGATCTATTTCTCCGGGGAAATAATTCTGATGGCGGGGGGATGACATTGACTTTAGAATTTCAGCTTATGCATTCGAGGATGCACATGAATATAGACGAGCGCGGGGGGAGTGTGTTGAAGGTCTCGCGAGGCATCGACGGCCTGTGTTTACTGGAGGAGAATGTGGAGACGAGGGAATAAGCCGTGGGCAAACATGTTTGCTGAGGGAAAAGCACGACTCGTGTATGTGTAACTTGCAAGTTTTTGCGTTTGGATGGGTTTATGTACACGTCTGTCAATTTTCATCGGGTTTTTTGTTGGTCTCGCAATTTTGGTGGGAGTGAAGGATCGATTGGGTTTCATGAGGAGTCATTTGGACACCAGGTAATGATCAATCTTGAGTAGAATTTTTTTTGGACTCATTTGGGCGTCACACGGAGAATGAAAAGTTTTGATTTTCAGGGACATGTAGTGTTAGAAAAAAATTAAATTTCATGGATAGTTGACTACTAATTTTCTGACTACTAATTAAGAACAGTGACACTGAATGCGATTTAGAGGAAAAAAAATTATGGAATTTCAGGTTTAACTGAAAATCCTGTAAAATTCCAGAATTTTAAGCAGCATAAAGACGAGAATTCTTCAATTTTTTTGAATTTTCAATCTCATATGGATATTCAGTGCCAATCTACATTGAATTGTAAATTCAATGTAATTTCAATGTAATTTTGAAAATTACCAAAAAAGAATTTGTTTGGTTCGAATTTGAAAATGTCAAACATGAATAATTGTTCTGCTTTCGACAGCAATGAAATATTTGGCTCAAGAGGCGGATAATTCACACCAGACGGTGCCTTTTCAGGATAATAATATCTCATATAGAGAAAAATTTATCAACAAATATTTTATCCCTAAGTTACAAGATTGCTGTCATATCATTATTGTTTCATTTAAGGGTTCATTTCTTGTCTGTGATTATTAGACAGCCGAAACGATAAACTACTATCCCTTGTTCCGCATAAAACAAAGATTTTTCGGGAGCAAAATACGTATGGGAGTATCGAATAACGAAGGAGTAGTGCTAGAAATGACATTTCTTGCGTGTACAGAGAAAGTAATTTTTTTTGAACTACTAAATCCGTTTTCGCGACAAAAATTTTTCATTCCGGTGCACTCTCCGCATGTTTGGCACAAAAAAATCCTTTTTTGACAATTTTCAAAAAACTATTTTCTTGTCGCAAGTAAGACTTGTTTGAGAACTTTGTCGTTTTTCTCTCAGTGTACGTTGGACTGCATCTATGTGTCCGTTTCTACCGCATGTTCTTTCGTTCGCTCGATAATTCCACCGGGGATCACTGAAAAAGTGAGTAAAAGATGGATTGGTTTTCACGAGGGGTCTTTGGACCCCATTTAATGACCAATATCCGAAAAAACCTGTAGATGTAGACGACTGCTGACTACTGCGGTCAAAGTATAGTATCAAAATGTCTTTCCAGGCGATAAAACCCGTCAACAGCTACTTCCTTGTCTCCTCCATTCACTTCCTCTTCGCCGAATGACTTGGCTGAAACTGAACACTCCGTTCTGATTCGTCCTCCCTCCGCAGATTGCTAACGAAATAGCAAATCCCGGGGCGGATTTGGCGCATAATTAATTCTAATGAATTATGCCATTTTCAAGAAGCAAAGCACGTACTTAAGTTGCGTGCAACTTCCAACTGTAATTAATTAACGGAAAGTGGAAGATATAAACTCGGGCTTAATCATGAAACAGACGCCTAATGAATTAACATACCACGAGCCGTCGTCATACGGTCGTCTAGGTGATGCATTACTTTGTGTAATTATCCATCAAATTTTTGTAGATGGGGTAGTTAAAATTGAATGATATTCACGCACAGTCGGTGGGTATTGTTGAGGTAAAGTCGATTAAGGCAATCTCCATCGTAACATGAAGACAATCTTGATGTCTTGATTTTAGTTCAATCAATATTGCACACTGAGAAAAAATTATTTTTGACAAACATGATTTCCTTGATACAAGAAAATCTTCTTTTGCCAATTTCTAGAATCGTGAAAGCTCGTGGTAATTGGTAAATAATTTTGTGCCCACACTGAGAAATAAGTCTTTCAACAGGATGAAATTCTCTTGTCCCGAGAGAATTTTCAAGAATTAGCGTAAGTCAAATCCGATATTCATAGGGATAATGGAGAATTAAGTTCACAGCATCGATTAAATTGTCATAGTGCGACGTTTCGCTAAATGTTTTAGCTTTATCAGGCTCTTGACGTCATCAGTGCATAGTCCTAAACGCTAATAATAGTGCAGGAGTATCCATTCGCAGTTAAAAACTCGTATTAACATCACAAATTGAATATAAAAACACCGAGAATGCGATGACTGCTTGCTCTGACAGTTGTCGTTGCACGATTTTTCAATAGTAAACAGAATTATTCTGAATTTTCAATTGATTGATTGAGAATTTAAGAACGCATTTTCAACTCTTCAGTTCAGTAGCGAAGCGGTAAACCGGGTCAAGTCAATTTTGACTTTTGGCCGGTTTTTGATGAATATCTTGGAATCTAGAGGAGATGGCAGAATTTTTCTCATTACCTTTTTTATAACGCTCAATTGGCTCTACAAAAAAGGTTATGACAAAAAATTTTCTATTTTCTTTAGATTCCGAGATATTCGTCAAAAACTGGCCAATAGTAAAAATCGATTTAACCCGGCTTACCGCTTCGCTACTGAGTTTTCAATTCATTTTTATGGAGTAATTGAATTAACAGTCACAGTTTCTATCAATTTTCCCATCAAATTAAAAATTTTTATTGACAAAACTCCTGGAAATTTCAAAGGAACAGCCACTTGATAAAAATTTCCAAAAAGTGTATCAAAAGTTTCATCCAAAATTGTTTAACAATGTAAATGTCACAGTATAATCAGAAATCAACGATATTCCCAGTATAATTATTTTATATTTAACCGCAACAAACTTAATATAGGTTACTGCACCTAACACTGAGGCCCATGGACTTTGCGAAAGATTTGGAGTAGCGGATCAATGACAAGTTTTTTCACATCTTTAGCAACGAGGAAGTCAATGTGATTGAATTTCCTCTCTTTGATGACGTCATAAATCATCGGTGAATTACGGAGTTCTGAGATCAACAGTTCTGTATCGTTTCTGGAACTCAAGGGGTCGTTTGGAGCCCGGAGAATAACAGAGGGTGTCGTGACCTTCTTCAGGTTGTAGTCTGGAGGCTCAATTCGTCCATAATACTGGAGATTGCGTTCAGGACTTCCGTAATCATAGTGTCGAAATTTCCCTACAATTCCGGACATTAATATACAGTTAAACAGAGAAAAGTATTTATTGTAATTCAACAACCATTTGTTGGAATTCAGTAACCGATTGTTGAATTTCCAATGCTGTTTTTCTCACCAGAGTCTAGGTGTTGGATGTAATGATAGAAGATTTTTAGAGAACTCCCCGCAGGATAATAATTCAGAAATGTCGTTACGGTTTCCTGCGGTTGAATCATTATGGTAAGAGGATTATCGCTTTCATGTAATCATTTCAACTTACTCGATCCAACTGTTCGTGATCCTGCCCTGTTATTAAATCCACCAGGAAGAAGCAGGATTTGAATGCAACAGAACTCTGGAAGCATCGCCTCTCAAAGAATGACCTCCGCGCTATGTGCCTCACTAGGAAGTGAACTGCACCACTTGGAATGATCTTTTTCGCCTGACGAAATGGTGTAGCATAAACTTTGGCCGCACGGCTTGAGAACTTCCAGAATACGATGGGTGCAAGCATGACATTGAGGTTCATCTTTTGATTGTAGTTTGGCCGATCGGACAACAACATTAATGCAGCAGTGCAACTACTCGAGTGGCTGACGTATGTCAGACTTGTTTGTCCGGTGGCTTTGAGAACGTAATCGATCATTGCTGGGAGGTCTAAAAGTGCTTGGTCGTCCAAACTGCAGGACAAGACAGTAGATTGAGAACTGCACTTATTCTAATAGAGGGTGAGTCCGAGGAAGATGGACACCTTAAACGGAAGATAGTAAATCAGCCGTTCTACAGAATTCTATGGACTGAATGCGTAGGAGAAGAATTTTTGGTAAGTACACAGGTCATACGAGAAGCGAAACAATCGTTAGGATTCAACCAATCAGCAATCATCCGTGACAATTGAAAAATAAACGCGTAGGGGAGGGTAGGGCAAAATGGACTCCCTTATTTTTTCAATTATGAAATTCTTTGAACTTTTAGTGAACCTGTCTCTTCGTAATAGAACTGGAGAGTGGATTCAGTGTCAGATATGCCTATGATGGATTTATCATGTGTGTGCATTAATCCGGACGATTTTAAACTCGAGTGTGATAATTGCGCATAATGCTTAACATAAAACAGTTATTATTGTCGTTTGTAAATGTGTCCAATTATTGACTTGTTAATTTGATTATTCTGTGATTTACGTACTTTTTAAATGAAAAAATATTGCTGTGAGTTTCGAAGATCATAAATATGCCCCACTTTCTAAAATTTCCATTTATCGGAATTACTATGGAAATTACGGTTGTTTTCAATCTCATTCCTATTGATTCTCATTGTTCCACAGTATTTATCTATATATATATTTTATACCGACCTATGTGACCCTTATTTAGACCTCTATGTTTGGAGTCTTAATTTCGAGTACTAAATTTTCATCACCAGAAGTCGATTGGGATTTTTTAAATATAGAAAGATATTCTGACCCTTAAACTGACCCTTGTGATCTTTATTTTGACCCTTGTGACTTTTAATCTCACCCTTGTGACCTTTACTTTCTGATCCTTGGTTTTTGACGCTTATTTGGACCCTTACTCTGACCCATGTGGCCCTTAATCCAATCCTGATCCTTGTGACCTATATTCTGACCCTTGTAACCCTTAACCTGACCATTGTGACTCTTATTTTGACCCTTGTAACGCTTTATTTTAGTGTCTTAATTTCAAGTACCAAATTTTTATCACCACAAATCGATTTGAATTTTTATAATATAGAGAGAAAGCACTTAATTTTTTTAGGGAGTCCGTTTTGCCCGTCTGGTCCATTTTGCCCTCCCCTCCCCTTTTCTAGGAGAAAAAAAAGTTATTTTCCAGAAACATGTCACGGGTTTTTAGAAATATGTCCAAAGGAACAACATGTTCAGGAACTGATTTTTAGAAATGCATTATCAATTATTGGCGACACCGACCACTGACTAAAATATCTCTGATCGTCAGTGATATACCGTTGAAAATTAATGTTAGATGTCTAAAAATTAGAGAAGGATCCCTGAAGATCAGTGACATGTCTCTGAAAATAAAAACTATTTTTTTCTGTGCATCTCATACGGGCTTAACCACTGATATCTCATACCTAAAATTCCAGAATCGTGCATCATCAACTAATAAGAATTGATGTCTCTTGCTGTACACATTCCCTCTGAAGTTTCCAAGCCAAACGTCATATCCAGCATCGGACAGTGCATAAGCTGCGGCCAAGGTACATCAATTTTCATGATTTTCTTTCTGGATCTAATAATAATGGGATGAAAATGGATGTTGAAGGAGTTACCAAGGCTTCGGGTGGGTCCGTACATGATGAAAAAGTCGGCTGCACCCTCTAATCCATGTTGGATAAAAACCACTCGCCTCTTCCCAACTTGCTGACAAACTGATGGATTCGAGAGTATTCTGAACACACTCAGGATGAACCCATCTTCGGTCGTGACATTATGCCACTCCGCTGACCGACCATGGCTTTCTATTAGCTCCATCTGATAGTTGATGTACTCATCTTCCTCAATTACATCAGTTCATCAATTTTTTAATTCATTCTAATTACAACTTACGAAATAAGGGACGAATACTCCATCTTCGACGGGCGTCGTGAGTCTCCACGCTTCCACTTGTTTTACGTAGAGTAACGAAAATAATGGCAGTGAAAAGAACACAATTGTCTTCCTAATTCTAACGTGAATCATGGCACAGTTTTATCCTCGATATTCGCAGCTGCAATGCCCCAACCTGACTGAATCGCAACGATCCCGTCAGACCAGATTACGAAGAAAGATTTTATAGACAAACTTATGTGAGTACTTCATTTTCGTTGATCCGGTTTATGATTGTGAATGCAAATCAACGGTTTCGTAAGGTATAATCAGCGAAAAAACATCATTAAGATTGGACTATGTAACTCATTTTCTAGATATTGAGAGAAATCTCCACCAAATGACATTCGCTGAGAATTTTATAGCTTCAAGGTGCATGGACTCGATGAATCGTCTGAGTTGTATCTTTGCACTGTGAACATTTATTCTCGCGCATATCCCTCACACTTCCATCTTCTTCTATTTGAGTTATTGTTGTTTTTTCTGACACTATCGATCGTTCAAAGACGACAGACTTGTAGCTGCAATCTTGGGAAGCGATTTCGCAATCTCGTAGATATCCCCGTTCTATGATTCACCATTTATCTGGAGCTCTCGGAGGTCTTCTCACCTCTTAAAACCCGGAAATATGATATTCAATAGCTTGTACAATGTTTCCCATTTGCCCATAAACATCAGTTTTTTTTCTCCAACAATTTCTCATTCTAGCCATTGAATTTTTACGATTCGAATTCCTCTTGGCTGTTGCACTGAAAATTTGGTACATGAAACTCACTTTCGTCTCTCATTGTGCGGAACTTTTTTTTTTTGGAACGCTTCAATTTCCAGGATCATACAGTAAAGAGGGATATGTTGCCTTTTCTTGTTCTTTTTTAGCGTGGAGAACGGCGAAGGAATCTATTCGTGGAGTATCGATTTGACAGGATGAACCCCTTTTTGATATTACAAAAGTGCGTCTAGACAGGATTCCGCTGGGGAAATGGTGTATCGGTGATAGGATGGAGGAGACACCCTCAACCGTATTCGGTTTTGTCGATGCAAGCTGCTTCATCCTTCAGGTCGAATATCGAGGTATTATAGGGACAGTGGGGTAGAACGGACTGCCTTCACTTGTGGGTGATTTGAGAAGAGTTTTCTGGTTTTTACTTCCGAATGGAAGGATTGAATTCGTCAAGTCCGAAATTTCCAATTTTTTGTATCAGGATAAGTAATTCGCCGTGGTTATTCGCACTACCATACGCAGCGTGTGACACGCGGCGTGTGAGACGCAGATTCATATATGGGTCGGCCAGCACTACAACACGCAGCGTGTCACACGCAGAAATTCATATAAGGCTCGAGTGCAGGAGCGGGTATCGAAATATAGTGCAGATGATTCTAAGGATAATTTTCCAAGCAGGGGAGACTCCTAGACCCCAATGGACAATGTTTTCACAACTCTGCTTTTCAATTGAAAATAGACATCATCTTTAGAGATATTTGTCATGTTTAGAGACATTAGCACGCCATTTCTCGACTCGCTCTTTCATTTGAGCCCAAGAAAACATTCATATCTTGGCTGACATGTCTGCTACAAACTCTGGTCTCCAACTCTGGTTTCAATTAAAAAGTTAGTTACATCAAACAATTATTAGAGAGTGCAGTGGTTGTAGTGGTCACACGGTGAGTGTGTGGCTCCGGCGGTCATCCAATTTCAGCAGCGTTCAGTCTGCCCAGTACTTGGATGGGTGTCCGGTTAGGCACGCCTAACCGCGTGGGACTACATTCGCTAGGCTCGAATGTAGAGAACCACTGTGCCCATTGAGTCAGTGTGACCAATGGACACAGTGGAATCCCTGCATTATCGGCCGGCTGCACGACTGAGGTTTTCCATGGTTTCCCTGGCAGTCCAATCCCGAATAGGGTGCAGTTGGGGATAAAAGTAAGTCGGTCCATGGTACCGCAGATAGGGAAGGGAACAAAATGTAAAAACCCGAGAGGGTATACATATGGAACCAAAAATAAAAAATATTAGTGTTCTCATTTATTATCATAATCCCAACATGATTTTAAATATTTTTCCCAATGATGCCATCTTTGCCGATCTCGATCATGAATTGACTGCATCATCTGTTGTTGAAAAAACTTGTTTTGAAACCAATATTCAGGGATAGGTAGGTAATAGTGAATCTTAACATTGCAGCAATGTTGGTAGCCAACGTTAGGGTAATGTTCTCTGCCAACGTTGGTGCAATGTTGGCTATCAACGTCGGAGCAATGTAGGCTGCCAAGATTGAGACAATGTTGAATTAAATGATTCGTTGAATACAATTTAAAATACATGGTCATAAAAATTACATTCGAGACCAGTTGCTAATTTATCAGTAAAAATATATTGACCATGTTGTGACGAAAACTAGTTTAGACCGGTTTTTTTTCAATTTGCCGGGATATATCGCTGATTTTCAAGGATCCATCCCCTATTATTAGGGACATGTCATTGATTTTCAGAATAGATTTTTATCTATCTCCAATTTCGTCAGAAATTTTTTTTGTCGCTGATTTTTAGGGACCCATTTCTAATTGTTAGTAACAATCTAATTTTAAAATTCAAATTTTTTTTTGAAAAATCGCTATTTTTTCCCCGTGAAGGGGTTCGGTCGTACCTCAAAATGAGACTGGCATTGAATACATTAAAGTTGTATCATTTGGTCAGTCGATATCCATAATTGAAGACAATCCTTTTTCCCCAATCTACCCCAGACTAAATACTCATGATTGAATAATTCAACTGAATAATTGCATTCACGAAGTTACGAAGTCCATTTATGGAATCATGAACGACCCCGGTGGCTTGGCGCAGTGGGTAAGTTCGTTGCCTCACATGTGGAAGGTTCCGAGTTCAAATCCCGGCCGGGTAGAATGGTGCGATCTAACCATTTAAAGTCTTGTGATCATCATCGCAGTATACCCTAACCGGATTGAAATGATATAAAATAACAATAAAAAAAATTGAATCATGAAGTGATTTTTAATTTGCCAAAAAGCAAGCGAGGGGATTATTTTCAGTTTCAAAAGCCTCTGACATGGACTGGGCTGTATACAGAGAGCTGGCATATAACGTGCACTGGTAGCGATTCCATTACTGAGTTAAAAGGTGACGGAAATTAGTTCACTCCCGAGAGCACTACCCTACCTTTTTCTATATTATCTTTTTAGAGAATACCCACAGATTGAATTCCACATTTCTCTTTGATCTTGCATCAAATCTCATTTTCTTGTTATATTCGGCTTGGCGAAAACATCATCAGCTGACAAAGATAATACGATTGTTTAGAATTTATTTATTTTTATTTTATCCATTCATTTCTATTTGTTTCCTATATGCCAAGACGAAATTTCTTCACCGGAGCACGAAATTGGCACTTTATGCATTACTAGGGGGCTATGTCCCCTGCTCGACCCCCACGACCCTTATTTGGATCCTTAATCTGACCTTTGTGATCCTTAATCTACTCCTTGTGACCCTTATTTTGACCCTGGTGACCATTAGTTTCTGACCCTTGGTTTTTAACCCCCGTGTCCCCTATTTGGACCCTTACTCTGACCTTTAAGCTGATCCTTGTGACTCTTGTTATCCTTGTTTGGACCCTTAATCTGACCTTCGTGATCCTTAATCTAACCCTTGTGACCCTTTTTTAGATCTTTAATCTAACCCTTGTGACCTTCTTTTGGATCCTTAATCTGATCCTCATTACACCTCTTGTGGCCCTTATTTTGAATCCGGTGGCCATTAGTTTCTGACCCTTGGTTTTTAACCCACGTGTCCCTTATTTGGAACCTTACTCTGACCCTTGTGACCCTTAATCTGATCCTTGTGACGCTTATTTAGGCCCTTAATCTAACCCTTGTTATCCTTATTTGGGCCTTTAATCTGACCCACATAACCCTTAATCTGACGCTTGTGACCTTTAATCTAACCCTCGTGACCCTTATGACCCTCATTTCGGCCTTCATGACCCTTGTCACCCTTAATTTCGGGGCTTAATTTCGACCACCCTATTTTCATCACCAGCAGTCGATTTGGATTTTTATAATATAAAGAAACATAATTGAAACCTAATAAGGATTGCCTGGGAGTGACTCGACTGCACTGATAGAACGGATTAGTTATTGTTAACGAATGGATTTTGGTTGGAGGTTAGGGTCTATTCGGTTCCACCAAATGTTCATTCGTTAATAGTTAACAAATGTATATTTGAGGAGCCCTGTTTGACTTGACTTTCGCCATTCAAGTGAACCATTCGTTAACTATTAACGAATATTCATTTCGTCATATTCAACTCTACCATTCGTTAAATAGTTAACGAATCTCGTTTGGAATAAATGAATCATTCTGTCAGTGTGGAGAAAATACGGTATTGAAAAAATAGATGCTTCTCTCAAGTAGATAGATATTCAACAAAAATAATTTTTTCTCTCACTGCAGCATTCAACTCTTCCCCTGAATTTCGGAACATGAAAATGGGTAAAAGATGACTCATGATGTGCTTTTCAAGAACGGTAGGATAATTTCTCTCAAATTTTTCTCACCATAGAGTCAACTAACGTATTTGATCCCGTCAATTTGCCCCCCTAGATTCAGTAATGCAAATGCACTTTGGGGAGTGATAAAAATGTCTGTCAGGCGCATGGCGTAGGAATAGCGGCATTAAATCTCCCTTTGACTCAACGTGTCACGTACCGCGTTTTTCCAACGTGAAAATTGGCAGCGAGAATGGGTTGAGAGCGTAGGCCGGGGTGCGCAATTTCTACGGTGCACTTGCAATACCGAACACTTTCCAGGAGATCACATGTACACTCAAACGGTAACACGAGGCGTGAGTGCAAAAGTTACGTTTCACAAACCTCATGGAGAAGATCACGGGTTCATGTTGAATATCCATTTCACAATGACGCGTACATGTGATGGTTTTTTCTGTTTTTCCTTTTTTTTTCGTTGAAAACCAGTCTCCCGTGGTTATTTTACAGTTACTGCAGTTTTTTAGAATTTTACGATGTCGCCCTGAGTGCAGCATAATGAAAAGATTTTGTCCGTTGATCATTGAAAGTTGGTGCTGAATAAATACAGAATATGTCGGGGAATGGAAATAATTTCATGTGAATTC